CCCACCACGCCCCCCTTTACTGCACCTTTCCAGTCAACGCATACACACGACCATGCATATAATCTTGGTAAACACTGCACAAAGCTAGCTTTCACCAAAACCACACAGGCACAGTAAAGAGTATATGTATTTTCTGTTGTGTGTAAATGACGTGAGTAAGTCGCCCCAGCTAAAAAGCACAACCCATTCGCCTGTCGACGTTCTGCAAGTCTGTCAATGCACACTGTGGCTCCAATGGAAACAGTTTGACTTCCCCTCCGGTGAGGTTGAGTGGTGCTGTGTGTGTGCTTTTCTGTAATTATGGACGCAGGTCCGTGTGCTCTGAGGGTGTGTCTGTGTCTTGTTTTTCTACTGGGTCCACTTACAGAAAACGTATGTGCCGACTAAACCATAAGGCAAAGGGATTCTGTGCGTGTGTAGCCACAGGACTTATTAGCACCAGAGCAGGTAAAAGAGAGCGACGGGGACATTTTCTTCTCAGCTGTTAAAATGACTGTGATGTGTGACCAAGTTATTTTTTAATTCAAGACATACCCATACAAAAAAAAAAGTCTTAAATGTCTTAGAATAAGTGACAGTCTGTGTGACTTTTAAGTAGGGGATGGAAACTCAAGATCACACAAACCACCGCAGCAACTACTACGCTTTTCTATATATATATATATATATATATATATATCTATATATATATATATATATATATATATATATATATATAATTATAACATGTGTCAGTCTGTCAGTGTTTTCACAAACTGGTGTTTTATAAAAGATATCTAACAATGTAAAAATGCAAATGTCTTGAGAGATCACTGCTGAACTCCGTCTCAACATCAGCCACGACACTTCCGCTGTCAGGTTATATGTCGTGAGTTTGATTTGCCTGACAACAAAATGTCTAAAATGATTGAGTTGATGTTTTGTTTGCTTAAGGTTGAGGCTCAGACAACGGTGAGATGTTTTGCCTCCGCAGTGTCGACTGAGAGTGATCCGCGAAAGTGTTGTAATTCAGCTCGAGTCTCTAAATGAGTTCTTCATAGGTTTTTTTGGAAACCTACCCAAAAATGGCACCACTTCATTGGCCACTTTTAATGTGTCAGATAATTGCAATGAATCTCAAGTAGAAACGTTAGGATGTTGGCGAATTAAGCTTTGGCAAAGTAATAATCAGAGTCATTAACAACACGGTGATTTCACCTAAATTGCATCCATATTCATTTCAAGCAATTTGTCTCACTAATGTCTTCCCTGGAAGGAGGAAGTGATTTACATTTCTAGCCCCAAAAAAAACAAAAACAAAGATTGTTGTGATTAATACATGACGAATAGGGGAGCTAGAAGGACCAGTGTGGTAGCTTCGTGTAGCCACACCTCAGGCTTAAACAACACACATCTGGAGAAATTCAAACTCAAGAGATTAGTAGAAAAGTTTACTGGCGGTGTTGTTGTTTTCACTGGTGTAGACAGAGAGTTGTTAAAAGTAGCTAGCTGTGGATTCTCATTCCATGAAAATAGCTTAAAGCTTTCAAAGTACTTCTCCAAAACAATAAATATTCATTCATCAATGACCAAGAAACAGTCAAAGTTAGGTTTGGAAAAATATATAATTTTTTAGTTACTATTCATTTAGAGTTAGCAACTCAAACAATGTGGTTGTGGTGTGTTTGAGGCACTAACTTAAGCAAACAATCCCACAACTGATTTTGATTCAAATGTTGCCTGACTGACAAGTGCATGGTAATACACGATGTCACCTTTTTGCAGGCGAGCCACGACCAAACTAATGAGAACAACAAGGAGCGAGCACGCAGATTTAGAAATGCCTCATGTGAAGTTACCAGAACTGTTCTAGCTTAAGTGCAATATGTTATGTTCAGGTGGGATAACACTGAGAAAATAGGTTTTTAAAGGCCTTTAAGAATGGCGGTGCAAAGTCCATCACAAAGTGGGAAATAACTACTGATGTGAAAAGTGGAAATGCACGTCCTGTTCTGGCCTCTGCAAGGGAACGTTTCCTTGGTCAACCCTATAATTCACGATTTAAACTTGAACAAGTTGGAGAAAAACAAAAGAGCGTGCCCATAGTTTCATGTTTAAACCTGTCTGATGAGATTAAGGATAATCCTGATGTCGGTTGTTTGAGCTGGAGGTGTATACAAACAAAATTATCACATTGTAATTTACTCAACAGCTTTATCCGGAGCCGCATTCTTGGAACAGGTCCCAGCTCAACCAGTTCAACACACAAAAACAGAGTGCCATCTACAGAAACTTAAAGTTCATTACAAGGCAATCCATGGAAAAAAATGAATACAAATTACATCACATTACTGGCCATATGACTAATCAATGGCTGTCAGTGATTTTACAAACAGTGCCTCGAAAAATTGCCAAGTTGAACACCAGTAGACACATGTTGGTGTGTGTCTTTTCCTTCATCTCCACTGACCCTGGATCCCTGGACGTCCGTCACACTCCTCTAACCCAGCTGAATGACAACTGCTCTGTGCAGCTATCCTCACGCTCTCTCTCTCTCTCTCTCTCTTCGCTCGCCGACCTCTTGCTGCTAGGACTCCAATAAACTGTGCCAGCGGCAAACCTGCTGTCCTTTGGACTCCTTCATCTGAGTCCAGTGGGTGAGCTCCTCCTCCCCCGAGCTGTTGAGGCCGAGCGAGATCCAGCCAATCATCTCCTTGCGCTTCATGCTGCGCTTGTTGTAGACGGAGAGGATGAGCGTGACGTCCGATAGCTGGAAAAGAGCGACCTGGAAGACGAACGTCTCCTTGTAGGTCGGGTTGGGCTGACCTCGACAGATGGATGTCTTACACTTGGACATCTCGTGGCCCATGGAGTTCAGTAAGGTCAGCTTAACATATGTATCTGAGTAAGAAACAAGGTGGAGGAAACAATTACAGGGGAAATGACGTAAACCTTTAGAAACCTTAACTGGATCAGTCATGCAAAATCCTTATGTTTCTCCAGCGGTATTGTCTTTGAGTTAAAGCACTTCTACCTGCTGCAGCTGTGTTTTCTCTGTATGACCCATTTTCCCCACAAAGTGTTTTTTCTCGTAATAATGCAGCAGTTGATGTATAAGATCATGCCGACATGGGATGCAGGTTTTTTTTCTCTTCTTCTCCTGATCAAACACACAACGCAGCTGTGTGTGTGTTCCTGATAACAGAGAGCGAGAACTCAAAGGGTGCAAGGAGCGTTACTTCTGTCCTGTTGCTATGCAACTACTGTATCTCTACTAACCTGATGCAGGGGGGATGCTGGTGAGGATGAAAAATGGACCGGAGAAAGTTAGCAACACGTCTGCTTATAGGGCGAGGAGCTTCATCTAAAATAAATGTCCCTCATCAGGACAGCCCTCCAGGAGCTATTATTATTATTTCCTCTGACGTTGACATAATGTCAGTGTGACGACATAACGTGTGCACAGACTTTCAGAGCCCAGGGCAGCGTCACAAAAACGGTCCAATGTCCAAAATGCGATGCATGCCTGCCGCATACAAATGAGATTGTTCAAACGTGCACTAAGTGACTGGTGGTGCGTAACTATAACACGTCATGACAACGGTATTACATTTTATAAATGAAACAAAAATTGCTCAATATATTTAGAATTGAACAGAAAACATCATCTTTGAACGTGTTTCACATTAGCAGTTATGTTCCTGATAATCTTGTTCTGTGTGACATTTCCCATCTTTTTCTCCAGCTTTTCTATTTTATTGTAAATCAGTGCACATTCCAAAGAATCATTCCGAAATGAAGGAGAAAAGAAAACAAACACTGGCATTATCGAGTAATTCAGCATTCACGGTTTCCTTTTCCACTCCTCATTTTCCCGTGCAGAATTTAGGGTATAAACTGAGGCCTACAAACCCAGCGGAAAGTAAACGAGGCAAGACTGGCAATCACAATGAGTCTTTGAGAGTGTTTCGCCCCTCGTCTTCAACCATACTCCATAGTAATGCTGTGCATTATGTTCCTGTCTAAGTGGGAGTATAGGGAATGAATTGCCGAGGCTTTCATGCTGTCGAGTGCCAGCTGCCTTCCAACGCCTTCGCTCGCCGCCTTGAATCACACATTCAGTTGCTCTCTTTGACATAAAAGCACAGTGGAAAAAAATAGCCTTGATTTCTTTTTCGACTGCTGCTGAATGGGCTCTGTAGAGCTGTGGATGTCTTAAGTGGTCAGTAGCGGTGATGCATGGCTCTTTGGCATTGTCGCTGAATGAGAGGGGCTGCGACTGATGATTAACTTGACTTGTCGGCTTGGCACTGTTTTGAAATTGCAGAAAAGGAGCTCTAAAATTGCTCTGCATCTTTCACCGCGCTCTCTCCACTTTGTGAGACGCACAAAGTCAATCAAGGCCTTCATAAGGATTTTGAAAAAAAACGATTTTTCAGTGTTACCAGATGTGACTTTTTTCTAAACGCAATTTTGTATACAGTTATGTGGATATGCTATTCAGGAAAGCACAAACAATATCAAAATCTGGCAGCTAGTCAAGTAGACATTTATAAATACAAGGAACACGGCAATTAACTGGGTGGGGGGGGGCAGTGCGGTGAGTCTTTCAGATCAATATATTTCTGCTCTGCTCCGTCACAGAAGTCCTGTTTCTGTTTTCAGCTCTGCTGTAAGCAGAGCTGAAAAAATGTCAAATGACACCTAAAGCATGCCGAAGTGTACCGTTTGAATAAAGCCAGCAGTCGATGACTCACACGGCATTTCCTTCTAGCTTTGCCACCGGCCACCAAGCAAACCGGATTGAGTTTAGCATGAAAAGTGTTACTTCGGAGTGAAAGCATGAAAGACCTGCAGGCATCATACTGGCACGAACACAGAAGAGTGACACGACACAGGTAGCGAGAGCGGTTGCAGGGCTGGATGCAACATACACATTGAAAAAATGAAGGCAACAGCAAGCAGCCATCTTCATGGATAAGTGCTTCGATTGTAAAGTGTGTGTGGAGGATTAACAATGGAAATGTGAAGTAACTGCTATAGTTCATAATGCTATTGCTTTTAAATGCTTTTTTTTGGGGGGGGGGTTATATGAGAAGATTGTTAGAATTTTCATGTCTGTCTGCTAAATATGAAGCTGTCCTTCTCATCTTTCATCGCACACTTTTATCAATGACTTAATTAATTAATTTTTTGGTTGTCACATCCTTCGGTTTTCCTCATAAACTGTTCACATTTCCAACTACTTTTTTGCAAAACATGTTCAACAGATACGATCATGGAAACCAAATTAGTACAAAATATAGTTTGAAAAGTCAAAGAAACGTAGGCCAATGGAAAACGCTTTGTGTTTGACTGACTGCATCCATGAAGATGGTTTCAGCATTCGACAGCGATCGCACGTCACTTTGCGGCAGGACAGAGACTTACCTCTGATAATATAAACCTGTCCACCTATCAAGTGTTTCAGACAACAGAACAGCCCATCTGACAACAAGGGTTGGACAGCAGTAAGAAAAAAACAACGGACCAAGATGTCAAAAAGGTAGTAAGGAGAGAGAACTTCAGGTGCCGACATAACAGAAGATGCGAGGAAAGAGAAACAGGGTCAGAAGGCCAACAACGTTGCACAAAGTTCAACAACAGGCAGTTTGTTTTTGTTTGTTTGTTTGAACTTGCTGCTCGGGACCCCTGGAGACTGACCAGTAAATGAGGGGAACCAGGGATCAAACCAGAGGAAAACTGAAAAAGAAGCAGGTAGTGCAGCTGAGATAGAGCGGACCATCTCTCAGCTGGAGAAGTTACAAGCTGTGCAGATTTTCTCTCCGGCTCAGTCTCAGATGGAAAAATTAAAGCAAATAGCAAATTTATATTTAACAAAAGGTCCTTCACGTCAGTTTTGACCACATTTTCCCAAGAATGATTCAATGTCTTTGTTTTCTACAAGTGTGCAAATGCCATTTACAAATGTAATAAATTATTAAGGGGAGTTGTATACTGACAATATAGTAGATGTGAATCTAAATCTATAACAACTAAACATTTTGATTGGAGTTTGGTGTAGCAAAACAATATCATTGGTTGTGACATTTGCTTTAGAAGCAGATGAGAGTGGCATTATCACATGATACATATCGGCTGCCTAAACATACATCCTATGCACAGGCTCGACTTGTCCCCCCCCGTCTGAAACAGATTGAAAAATGGTTCACACGCTTCACTGCTCTTCTGGCAACAACTCAAACAAAACGTTTTAGAGTACTTACTGGGTGGCTTGTTGGCAGTCAGGTTTTTAAAGTGGATGCCTTTGATGATCTCCACAGAGAGACGACCTGTTGTGGCGTTGTACACCAGGCCCACGAGGATCTCTGGTGTGGAAGTCTGACTGACTGACTGGAATGATGAGGCGCTTTCACTGCATGTCATGTCGGAGAGGCTGACCTGGGATTCACCACCCTGAAAACGTTTGCAGACATTCGGAAAATGATTCACCGGTGCGTGTAACAGAAATCACAGTCACCGCTCCCCTATCTAATAATATAGCAATATCCTATTACCACTTTAGCTCCTAACACTATCAGCAGCATTTGCAAAGCTCAGTGTACAATAATTCTGATGACACTATTTGGCTTCTTCTGACAATTGACTGTTATGACTAATATGACTTGATTACGTATTTCTCAACACCATATGTTGCTCTTTTGCCAAAACACAAAACAACTGTGCTGTGAGAAACAATAGAAGGCCAGTAAACCAATATAGGACTACTTCCTTGTTGAATATACAGTATGTTAATGGTCCCTTGTGGTTTGAGATATGCATATGCTGCTTCAGCTCTTTGTAATCTGAATACATTTAAATGGATGTAACATTTTAAAGTCTAGGAAAAGGAAAACAAACCAGCACAACTAAAGTCATTGTATTATTCCCTGATGTGAAAAAGAGGCACACTACCATCTATCCCTCAGACACATTAAACCAACAACTCAAACAGAAGAAGCTGGTTAGATCTTTATATTCCCTCACGCTGGAATTCATAACCTCATTCTGAAAATGTTACGCAACCACATGAAAGATCGATAAACGTAGAGGCATAATTAGTGAGGTGTTGAGAGAGTGCCTGAAAGCCAACACCTGCTTTGATTCTACTTACCGGGAGAGCGCAGCAGGGGTCTAATATGACTGGCACTGACACTTTGCCCTGAAGGTTGAGCTTGGTGAGGTAAAACACCTTTTCCCCGAGCGCCTTCTCCTTCTTCATCCGCCGCACACTGTAAAGGCGGAATCGGATGGCATAATTGCTGATCATCTCCGACTCAACGTGGCTGAAGCGGAAGGTCTCGGTGAAGATCGGGCACGGGCCTCTCGCGATTCCCGTCTTGGCCCTCTGCTTCTTGGTGGGCAGCAGCACCAGGTGGACCTGCCAGGAGATGTTGCCCGTGCGTGTCAGGCCGGGAAGATCCGATACCGCCATGATGGTGACCGCCAGCTGCTGGTCCTCTGAGTCGAAGTCAAATACCACGTCTAGAGTGCCATATTTTGCAAGTGGATCTGGTTCATAACCTTTAGAGAGGCGAGCTGCTGATCCACGGGCTGACATGTCCTAAAGAAACCAATGAGATGGTCAATGTGCAGTAAAAAGAACCTCAATATGTACATCTGTGGTCATATCTTGAACCACTGTTACCTCTGGGCTGAGGACAGCTGTACTGTCACTGGGTACGTCCTCCTCGTAGCCCTTGTTGAGGTAACTCTCGGTCTCGTGGCCGTCGCTGCAGTCACTGGGGCATTTGCCAAATGACAGGTGGGGACTGCCGCTGGTATAGGACAGATCACACTTGGCATCCCCCAGGTCCGACAGCGTACAGGACATCCTTGGAGAGCCGTTCTCGTCCTGATAAGGAGGGGGCTGGAGCTCGTCCAGCGGCGGCGTTCGTCTCATCCTCTGGATGCAGTTGGCTGGTTGGAGGGAAGTCAGCAGAGGGGTCAAGGGTCACAATAATGCACATATTGTTAAGTATCCTAGGATCAGGATTCTTATTCATCCGAAAGAATGCAATTTGCCATACATTGATCTGTTTCAGTGAAGTGAAATAAAAACGTCAGAGTTAGGAGAGTGCAACTTTCCCATTCTCTTTTATCAATGGTATGTCATACTGGCATTCACTTTTAGTTCAAGGCCCCGCTTTGACTAAGCACAGCCTCACAGAGCTGCAGGCATGACTGTAGGCATCTCAACCACAGCCATCACTGTAAGCAAGGCAATACAATTATATCGGTATAGCACAGTTCATACACGGGGTAACTCAAAATGAAACAAGAACAGGCAAAAAAAAAAGAGACAAAAAAATGTCTTGCAGATTTAAAGAAGCCCTAATATTTAAGTAAACCCAATGGCAAACAGATATTTTAGCTTTGACTGAAAGGCGAGACATGTTGAAGGAAGTGCAGCTCAAAGCAGCCTCCCCAAATTTGAAGTGGGAATGTAGGGAAGAGCACTATTTAGCAACATGCTGACAAGTATTTGTTTTTTATAAAGACCCAGACAGAGTCGCCCTCTGACATATCTTAATCCACCTTTAACAACAATGGAGATAACATGAGAGAAGGTCACTTGTGGATGTACTAATAAATTGCACTTTAGCGAGCTACAGTGTGCAAACCTTTAGTTATGGCCCAGTTATGCCTTCAACGATTTTGGATGTGCGGGACCACTATACTTACAGTTTGGGATGTGCGGGACCACTATACTTACAGTTTGGGATGTGCGAGACCACTACACTTACAGTTTGGGATGTGCGGGACCACTACACTTACAGTTTGGGATGTGCGGGACCACTATACTTACAGTTTGGGATGTGCGGGACAACTATACTTACAGTTTGGGATGTGCGGGACCGCTATACTTACAGTTTGGGATGTGCGGGACCACTATACTTACAGTTTTGGATGTGCGGGACCACTATACTTACAGTTTTGGATGTGCGGGACCACTATACTTACAGTTTGGGATGTGCGGGACCGCTATACTTACAGTTTGGGATGTGCGGGACAACTATACTTACAGTTTGGGATGTGCGGGACCACTATACTTACAGTTTTGGATGTGCGGGACCGCTATACTTACAGTTTGGGATGTGCGGGACAACTATGCTTACAGTTTTGGATGTGCGGGACCACTATACTTACAGTTTGGGATGTGCGGGACCACTATACTTACAGTTTGGGATGTGCGGGACCACTATACTTACAGTTTGGGATGTGCAGGACCACTATACTTACAGTTTTGGATGTGCGGGACCACTATACTTACAGTTTTGGATGTGCGGGACAACTATACTTACAGTTTTGGATGTGCGGGACCACTATACTTACAGTTTTGGATGTGCGGGACAACTATACTTACAGTTTGAGATGTGCGGGACCACTATACTTACAGTTTGGGATGTGCGGGACCGCTATACTTACAGTTTGGGATGTGCAGGACCACTATACTTACAGTTTGGGATGTGCGGGACAACTATACTTACAGTTTGGGATGTGCAGGACCACTATACTTACAGTTTGGGATGTGCAGGACAACTATACTGACAGTTTTGGATGTGCGGGACCACTATACTCTGTTTGAGAGTATGTGCATTCATGTTGTACTAGAGCGGTGCAGGAATGAGTCTTAAAACCCAGAAATGAGTCTGCATTTTTGCACTTCTGCTTTCCTCACCTCTGAGTCATTGGTCTTTTTAATTGGTTTTTGGTTAGATGCCTGAAATAACCGACCGTGGTGTAGTTTGTTTATAGCCTAACATTAGCTTTTTACTTCTGCCATTTGCGTTTACGCTTGAAAAATCATAAAAGTGGTGTTCAATTGTGACGAATATCTTGCTGAACAATTTGTGTAAGTATCATTAACTTGTGTTTTCCACAGATCTTATTTTTCTGCAAAACCTTTGGTTTTTTGTTGAGGGAACCAGTGCGATGCTAACTTCCTATTTGGCCAACAAAAATATGTCGTCCCTGCACTAATCTATGACTTATTTCTAGATTACAACACAGGCTGAATTTACTGAGAGTGAAGCTCTCATTACTAAATTATTATTATTGCATATGTACTTCTGATTTGCCATTTTATTTTATTTTATATTTTACAGATTAGGGTTTAATCTGTAGCTGCACCTCAATGCTTAGGTATAATTCAGCTTCTCGTATTCCGGTGTAATGTTGATCGTTCATGTAATTCTTCAGCATCAAGTCATACACATTGCAATTTGTCATTATATTTCATCTTCACTCTGTGAAGTGGTGCTCATTCTGCCCGTCCTTGTGAGCATAATGTGCTCTCTGAGAGGAATCTTTTGAATGCGCAACGTAAATAAAACATCAGATATGCACCATTAAAGGACCAAACTGAATACTTCTTAATCTGCCACAGATTTCATGCCTCTCACCTTTCTAAATGATTCAGTTTGCCTGGAAGGCAGAGAATGAGGCTAAACTGAGAGTCTCTGTGCCACTTATAAAGAACCCTGAATAGTGTTGTCAGCTGCATTCTCAAATCTGCCTCCCTTGTCCAATTTGGATTCACAAAAATTGAGCAGCCGATGCTAATACTCCCATCGGGACACTGGCGAAGAGTTCTTTAAACCCCGGTCTCTTGCAAAACAAAAAAAAGAAAAGAAAAAGAAAACAAAAGATGAAGAGGAAAATAACTTTGGGGGGGGGGGGGGGGGGGCTTTTTTTTCTTTTCCCCCTTTGTTTGGGAAACGCCCCCCCT